AACGTGTGTTAGGTACGTAAGTGGTCTGTCAACTTTTCCTTACAAATAAGAAAGCATGACCAGGCCAGGAACTCCTGGATGACTTCATCCCAACGACTCACTCCAGCCTGCCAAGCAGACAATCTCCGACTTCAAAAGTCATGGAAAGTCACGCCAGGCAAGATCATGATTCGGAGCGAGAGGCTCGGCATCCTTGGTGTCTAGGTACTCGCTCCTCGCTCTCGAGACCGGATTACTGTCGTCTGTCTGCCCAGTTATCAAATAGGAAGATAAGGTAACGAGGCGTAACGCTTGTTATGCTTGTGTTTTTTTTTTCCCCTTTCAGTCACTGTACTAGAAGCTTCTGATCCCAAGCGGAGACATTGATGCCGACCAGCTAGCAAGCAAGCAAGCAAGCAAGCAAGCAATGCCGTCCGCCTAGACTCGAGGTCATATCAAGGACCAGGTCATTGTGATCAGAAGGAGATCGAAGACCGGAAGCTTTCCGGATCTTGACCTTGATCAACGCTCGGCTGGAAAACACGGCTAGCTAGATAGCTAACTGGACGGAGACCTCAAATTACGGAAGGTGCTATTGGTATCCTATGCTCCTTCTACTACCCAACCTTCAACCTCCAACGTTCAGCCTCGGTCTCAGTCTCAGTCCGGCCTTCATACATTGGATACCGTGCCGGCAAAACGGAGACAAGCAAGAGACTTGATATCAACTTGGGTGGACCCGGACACCCGTATCTTACCCGCCTTGACCCCAGACGACAAGATCAACAGGGACTAACTGGGAGGCATTTACGAAAGGTCTAAGCCTCACTCGCTTCACGGAGTACACGTACGGCATATGTTCGCGCGTATGTATGATAGCGAAATTCGGTTCTCCGCCTTCTCTTTTGTTCTTCGTTCGGTCCTGGTAGGTTGTCTTGGTATTACTCGAGGCTGGTATCGATCGGTTGTAGAAACTAGAACGACGACATGCCATGATAGGTATGGAAGGTATGGAGTTCATTAACACCTCACCATCATTGCTGTTACGAATTCCAGCGAAGGAAACAAGCAGAACGCGTATATCGCATGATCCACGTACCAGATATGGAGATCAAGAGAGCGGACGAGAAGATGGAATCACCTATGTATGCCTGACTTACACCCAGCCTCGAGATGTTCGACTTGCGTCCAACGAGGTAGGACATACATAGCAGGACATCAACATAAGACAAGATTTGGCATATGCCAAGTGGAAGTCAAAGACGTGAACGAGGAGTGTACCAAGCCCTTTGGGCAAGGCAAACGAGCTATCCATCACCATATTCACAGTACCGTCGTCAATGACTTCCTGTTGTGCCTAAGTGCATGTGGGTTGGCTAGGTAGGTGGATATTGCCAATTTCCATGTCCGACTCGGCGCATCGTGGCTGTGAGGGTTGAAGTCACATTCTAAACTCTGTTGGTGATGGGGATCTGATCGTAATAGGGACATGGGGCTTGAATATGCCGCACTCAACGTGGAGTTGGTGGTGGTCAGGGATGAACAGGAGTTGATGGTAGATAGTAGATGTTCACCTTGTGGTCGTCGTAACCTCGGCCTTCGTTGATTGGTGTGTTCATGTCACGATGTATCACATTGCAATCTGGGGTTTTGTATTGCTGAGAAATGTGGCTGGCTAGATCGTGGTCTTCAGCAATACGTGCCAAGATGAGCTTCTTGAAACTACCTTGCGAGCTTATTATGTACCCAACGACCGTCTACGTATCAGCTCAAACTCAAAGGGCGATGGAGATACCAAGTGGTTCTAGGTTTTACTAATGATTAAGAAAAAAACGGATTGTGGAAACATAGACTAACATCATGGACTCCGCAACTCCGCAGCCAAGAATATGGAAATTAAAGCAGTCTGGATACTCCAGGATCAGATCGATATCAATCAGACTTCTTCACTCCCTGCTTCCTCAACTAACACTCAGCCAATGCCGTGTGATAGTTTGAGCACGTTCAAGAGAGACTCTACTACCAAGCGTGGCAGTGAAAGTCATGGCACGATGATGAATGTGGAAGTGTCAGTTCAATTCATTGGTTGCGATTGGTTGCAATTTTGTTTCCGCAAGGCATACACACAGACAAGAGATTCCATTTTCCTTAGCCACTCTCCTTGCCTATCAAATATGTTGTATAAACCGCGTAATTTGCTGTCGAGGAATGTTTGCGTATCTGGAAGCAAGATGGTGGCAATTGAGGAAATGAAGAAAATGAGGGAGAGGCCTCCCAGGGGCGAAATTCGGCTTTGTACATAGAAGATAGGCACAGCCACGAGGGGAACTATGAGGATGAAGGGAGGCGAAAGAACATGAGAAGTATCTTTTGCCTTGTGGGTTTGTTCCAATCTCGTGTTTATCTTCCCGGATGTTAACTGCTGTTAGTTAAGTACCAGGCAGTTTTGTTCAGATATTGGTGGTACGTTGTAAGTGACTTCAATACACGAGCGGATCGCCATGACATGGGATTTGAGAAGAGGATATCTCGTCCAAAAGTGGATGATTTCAAGGCGCACTTGGTAAGATATAACGGAGGGGTAAGGCAAGGGCATATACTAGTTTGAGGGCAAAATAGACAGACGTGAAGAACCCCTCCCCCCCCCCCCCTAAAAAAAAAACCGAAAAACGGAAGGAGGCAGACCTAGACAAGGTAGTGATTCAAACGGTGAGTAGTTACCCACGAGAATGACAGTAGAGATGCACCTGTAAGTGTGAAATGAATCGGAAACGAGCAGGCAAAATAGCGGCCAGATGCGGCAAGCGGACGATGAGCGATAACGATGTTGATTTCGAGTGCCATTGTCGCCGGCAGGGCAACATAAGCTTGATTTCTTTTCCCCCGTGGTTCAGCACATGAGAAGAAACAGTAGATCATGAAAACTTGATGCGTAACTTGTCATCTCTGATTAGTGCAGTGGCGAGATGGTGGGAGTATATGTTGACGACGAAGGGTATCACGTGAGCTTCATCGATAAGATAACGGTTATTGATCACGCAAGCTGGGAAAACAATGGACAACCACGACGACGATGAACACGTAAAAATGACAACACAGCCATCATCAAGAAAGTTGCGATCGACCCAATATCCATTCGTGCTCAAAGGGCTTAAATCGATATTATCATGTTCTTACCGACGATGCGTCATACGATGGTTTTGACGGATGAGAAATCTCTGCACACAGGCAAAGGATGTTACAACTTTTTGCCCGAACATGGGAGCGACTCGGCATTACACTACCCTCCGGGACAACACTAAGATCTTGATAATACAGCTTGGCTTGTGCTGGTGTTCGTCAAGTGTCAAACTTTGACGAACCTCCATATCGTCCCCTCCTGTCCATCCTGCCAAACCATCGACACTGGGAATCCCTCTTCCCAGTCTTCTTCCGAACGCGAGCCCGAGCCCGAGTCATTTGCCTTCAATCTTGCTTTGACAAGCCGTGGAATTGCGTTTGATTCTGCTGGAATTTGAAGAGAACACATGATGTATCCGCGCTTATCCTGCTGCGCTGTCCCACATTCTTCTTCGTCTTTCCCATCTTCTTTCGCCTTGACGCATATCAACCGCTCCGATGCCCCGTGCCTGATGCTGACATTCCGATAGCTGCCGGAGAGCGGATCGAAGGCAGTCTCTTTGTCATTGAGATTGAGTCCGAGATACCGTCCGCCCGCGGCATTGCGAAAGCCGAGCCACCCGTCCGTTTCGACACAATGCCAATGCCAGTTGCATTTGCCTCTGAGGGGATGGCCTTCTCCTAAATCGACCGGAACTTTATAGAGGGCAGGCCATCCGCCAATCACCATCAGCGCTAGGTTGGTGGGTTGGTGGAGGATAATATATGTCGAATTTCCCGCGGGATTGTCGTCACGGTCTTGGTAGAGATCCCCAAGGTGATCAGATGTGGGAGATTCTGATGAGTGGTCCATCTTCTGAGGAGGTGTCGAGGTGATGAAGGTATGAAGTGAGGATGGTGCTTTGGTACCCCAGTCGGGTGTGTGAGTTCGGATGGTAACGCTCGATGAAGTTGAGAATGTACACGAAGCAGAAGAAGACGGTGATGAGGAGTGCGTGCTCATTGCTGGGGGTGTGTGCGTCTTTTCTTTGTTCCGGACCTGAATTGATCAGACATCGAGGGAGTCGTCCATCTTGGTTGTAGGAGAAGAAGGTTCTTATCAACCCGAACTGAACGGAAGAAGGGCATATCACCGGGAAGGCTTCCAACGGCTCTCCATCTCCTCACGCTTGCCTACTTCCTGACATGGAGCGGACAAATGCATGCTGTTCGTACCTAACAATCCCTCGCCATGCTGGTACCTACAGACGCAGTCAACAGCATGCACGGCTGGGGATAATATGGTGTCTTTTGGATGGCTGAGCGGGAGCAACAACCCGATCGACGGTGATTACTGAGTGCGAAAAAAAAAATGGGAAGATGAACCACGAAAGGAACTACACAACAGATAGAACGGTGGGACGCTGCCATGTTCCGCTATCTTTCACATTCTCTATGTTCATATGTCGGCTACAGACGGGAAGTGCTTCTGGTGACACGAATCATCCGGACCGGGACTGACTCTGGCAACCTATAAGATGACTACTTCTGTAGTCAATAACTATCGGAAGGGACAGCCAACCGACGACGGACTCGAGACTTCTCTACTTCCGTAGCCTCTTTTGAGGCGCCCCTTCTTAATCATGACTACCACGGCTTCCCTCTCAAGTGTTGGTGACACAGTGTTAGGGCGTCCCCCTGCGAACTTGGTTTGAGGGTGTGACAACATTTTTCTAACCAACGAGCTTCGACCTCGCCAGATGCTTCTGGCTGTGTGGCTGGGACGGCATCCCAATGGTTGATTCACCCGTACCCTTTTCATGTGACTATTCATTCAGCTGAGTTAGTTAGTATTCGTGTTTTCTGTAGGTGCCTAAAGATCCTTCGCCTCGATCATCTTTCGCATTGAAGCACAGCTGGCGTATTCTCTCAAAAAATATACTGCTATTTCCTCGCGCTTGTTCTCTCCAGCGATATCGCACAGAAAATAGCAAACCGCTGATTAAAGGCAAGTCTCCGGTCTCACGTTACGGCTCGTTGAACTCAATTAACCATGTGACAGGATCACACCAATCTTTCTAATCAGATCCAGAATGGCGGAACCGAAAAGGCTTTGTGAATACTGCACCGCCATCAGATTTGAACAGCTCCGTCTCCCATCCTCGGAAAATGTGAAAAGGCTTAACAAAGGACAGTCAATTCAAGCAAAATTTTCTTTCATCGATTATAGCATAAGCGGCGAGAATCGTCCCCATTGGAGTCTTGGAACCCAGAGCCGAATTCAGAGGTCTGCTGCCACTTGCCCGTTCTGCAGGGAAGTCTCTCTCGTTCTCGAAACATCAGGGGTACGACTTAAAGCGCCTATGGTTTTTCAAACAGATCCGGTTTGCGACGTCTACTTCACCAATGCCGGCTACGTGGAAGCGCCTCCAGACGTGACCTGGAAGCGATACGAGCCGTTCGAGACATTGTTACGGAAGTTCGTGCAGAAAGTTTGGTGGAAGCACCGATACCTATGGCATAAGTTGCTACCTAACAAACTCCCACCTTCGCTTAAACCCCGCGGAATACCTTATCCGAGAATTTCCTTGCGATGGATGGTACCCGAAGAGCATCCAATGCCCTCGCTGAAGCGTTACCGTGAAGGCGTCATTGAGCTCTTCGAATGCTTCCAAATCATTGAAATAGGCATGAACGAACGAGGAGGCTTGTTTAGTGGACGGGAGAGGCCAGCCCTGATTGACCTGGAATTGCCACGGCGGTGGCTGCGTAACTGTTTGGATAACGACAACGACTGTTGTACTCCCAAGCCTCAAGGCGAAGGTGTCGGAACATCAGTCTTTCGTCTTATCGACACGAAAACGAAGTCAATTGTTGAATTTTATCAGCACCGTCTCGGAGATACTCCTTACGTGACGCTCAGCTATGTTTGGGGCACCACACAACAAGCTATGCTGAGACATGAGAATATCCGCCAACTAAAGTTGCCCGGTTGTCTTCAAGGGGCCACTGCGCAAACTATTACAGACGCTACAAGATTTACGTCCGATATGGGATATCGATACCTCTGGGTGGACGCGCTCTGCATCATACAAAACGACGATGCTGATAAGATGTCTCAACTCCAGATCATGGGTGATATCTACAAGAATGCCGTCTTTACAATTGTGGCCGCTGCGGGTGAGGATTCTGACTCAGGGCTTGCGGGTCTTCGTACGCCTCGAACGACAATCCAACGCAAAGTTCAAGTCAAACCGGCGGGCCCACAAGAAATGCCCTTGTGGCTTATCTCAACGGTTATGCCCCGTACCATCTCTTCAGATCGATCATATACGCATGGCCTTCATTGGCAAACTCGCGGATGGACATTACAAGAAATAGCTCTGTCGCGGCGCGTATTCATTTTCACAGGTGAGCAACTACTCTGGAGTTGCAGACGGTGTCACCGATGGGAGGAGACCGATACTGAGACTAAACTTGCCTCCCTGTCGTGGCATACTATGGAAGAGGCACACCTAAGACCTAGCGTTTTTTTTAAATCTACTCTGTGGCCTGAAGAAAACGTGGGCGCAAGCTTGATATCTACACTGGACGGGTTGTGGAGGATGATTGCCGATTTCTCCATCAGGGATCTCAGTTTAGATGGTGATGCTTATGACGCCTTTTCTGCTATTCTCCGAGAATGTACAGGAATGACCGGTGAGCAGTTTTTGTGGGGCCTGCCTGTCTCCGAAGAGGAATTCAGTCGTGCTTTATGCTGGGAAGCGGATGGTCCTCTCGTGCGAAGAGAATGTCTCACTACTCTACCGACTACATCTCTACAAGTTAAGGTCCCGTTCCCAAGCTGGTCATGGCTCGGTTGGAAAGGTGAAATATCGCCACATTTACCTTCTGTCGGCGGTTTATTCAAGCTCAAAATTAGGCCGTATGTGCTCAGAAATACGCCTGTGCGGCTGCTGGAAATATCTGACATTCCGGAGGAAAACACGTCAAGGGCCACGCCTTCTTCCACGAACGATGCACAAAGCGCATTGCCGCTGCCAACTCATAGCTATCCAAGCGTATATGAATCTTTGAACCTCGAGACAATCTACAAGACTCTCAGTCCGGATATTACACCAGAGCGACTTTTTCGTACCCCTGATGACCAGCTCCTCTTCTTCTGGTGTGAACGCGCGCACCTTTATTTGGAGGAGCCGGACCACGGCGTCGATATAATTTCCATATGGAACGAGAAAGGATCTTGTGTAGGGCTCACTCTTCAACTCTCGGTTTTAGGTGATCTGAACGGAAAATGGGAGAAAAGCGACTTTAGTGCAACGAAACGGATGAAGGCCGAGGTCATTGCGATTGCTTCCGACCAAATGAATGGTAGATCAAAGCGAAAGAAACTGAACGCGAAACTTGTGTTATTCTTGATCAAGAGGCGGGAGGGGATTGCCTATAGGGTCGCCATGATTGACCATATTTCCATGCGAGACTGGCTAGAGTGTAAACGGGAGAAGATCCTTGTTGCTTTGGGGTAGGACATCATGCAGTTCTCGAGTCTTCTGTCTGCTTTTCACTTCAACGCTTCTTTCATTCACTTTCAGCCTCTCAACTTTCATCAAGGCTACATATTACAACTCAGGAGAGAATTCAGAGGTACTTAGTGTACGTTGACAGCCACGGTACCTCTATGTTTTGTCCCGCTCGTGATGGAACGACCCTAGATTTCGAAAAGATAATCTGCGCTACGATGGGAGCGTGACTGTGGAGATATTTATAGATGACTTCAATCTCTGGGGCTCCCCGAGCTGTTTGAACTTCCTTGCCGTCCGCACGGCACACTTTCAACGGAGGATGCGGAAATCACGGGCTAGCCTGACCAAAGACAAGAATACGAGGGTCACCGAGAGAGTGAAGGTCCTACCTAGTACCGCGAACGGTTAAGGTAGTGTTAAGCCCTCATAAAGGCTGTAGTTTGATTCTCACGTGCCAATTTTGCCGAAATACTGACAGTCCGAATCGCCACGCTTATGGTAGGAGAAGACCCGGGTCCAGCAGGGCACCAGAAATTCCATACCATTGATATAGTCCAGCACAGTTCTTTCGGGCACAAGCTCGGGCCCGTTGGCAAACATAGTAGCTCGTTCCGTCAATAGCCAATAACTCTCACGACTGTCCGTATGAGTTGCAAACAGGCTGTAATCGAATCCAAGGTTGTAGTGATGCTGAAGTAGGAAGGCGTATAGTTAGAGAGGGGGCGATGGTCGGTTGCGCCATGGTTTCGTTTCGCGATGCCTGAGCGGTTATATGGGTTATCAAAAAGACCAGTGGTATGTCTCAATACTTGTATTCTTTGTGGTTGGCATGCCCTTCACCGTCAGAATAAGTGTACGGGAGGCAGGGCAGATGCATGTGTTGGCGGCGAACATGCGAGCAGTTGCTGCCCAGTTGAGGACCTGTTTTACGTCGATCTGCATCACCCTTCCACAAGTTATCCCTACTAGAGGTCGTGGAATCGAAGTGAAAGTCCTCGGTCCCCCTCCTAGTAGTCTGTTGAGGAAGAACATGTTTTCAACAAAATTGGCCCGATAGCCGGTGGCGTGAGAGGAGCATCAATCGACACTGTAATCCTCCTGTCATAGATCTACTACTTGCGACTCAAGAAACGGACGCCAACTTGGCTCGTGAAAATACTCTCTCATAAAGTTAGCCCGTCATCCACCATTAAGACGGAGCTTCCAGTCCGAGTGTCCGAGGGAGCCACTGCGATAGAAATGCCTATGACGCCAGCAGGAGGTACAAGCGATGAAGAGGCCGGAGAGCTTGACGCATGAACCATACATATCTATGAAATCGGTCACAAGCCACGCCTGCGAGCTTGGACTGGATCACATCACACTAGTGATGAATAACCATGGCCACACACACATACGGAAATGTATATGTGAGAACAAACATCTTTGCGAGTCAAAGGTTTTTTGCATGTCGAAGATTATATCCAGTTATTTCCCTCCCTTTTCTTCAGCTTCCCTTGAGATGAACGACAAGCACCACGGTACGCCAAGTTGAATAAATAAGATAAAACAAACCCAAAGCATGCAAGATGAAAAAAAAAATAAATAATAATAATAAAAAAAAAAAAAAAAAAAAAAATTCCAATTGAAGAAAACCAATTCCGTTTGAGGGCAAAAAAAAGAAAGTAGAAGCAAAAGAAATTATGATCAAATGCCCACAGCCAGAATCGAACTGACGACCTCATCATTACTAGTGATGCGCTCTACCACTGAGCCATGCGGGCTTTCTTGGGTTCTTGTTGTTTTGAGGTCTACAGCATAAGTGTTTAAGCCTGCAGTACTACAGTAGTAAAAGATGGTTTGGAACAACAACTCGACAAACCTTCCGACAAACAACGGACGAACGGATATTTAAGGTAGGTAGTGAAAGCTATCGAGCAGATGACACTGATCGTGCACTAGTAATGCTAATTGAAAACAGGCTCATAGGCTAAACATGGGATGAAGTGGATCCCGCCGGCCGCTGTGAACGAAACTCCGATCGGAACAACAATCTTGCTTGGACAACACCAATGAATGTGTGTAGGAAGACAAAGACGGGAGTGATGATAAAGATGATTTTGATCGACCATCCATCAATCGTAGGTACTATTCTAGAAATGGGCATAATACCAAATACCACTCAGGATCCCAATACCAGGTAACGCTATCCTATCCTAATAAGAAAGACCAAGTTTGCCAAAGGAGATGCCGCTAACTTTTCCATGGTGCCCAAGAACCCTGAATATACTTTCTTCTTCCACCAACAACAGCCATACCAGGAATCCTCAAAAACTAACAAGTCCAACTGTAATGGAAACCGCTCAGCCGATGCCCTAACCAATACTTCAAAGGAGCAACCGCTCAAAACCTCCCATCAGTAATCTCATTCATGATATCCCTCATAATCGGCCTCCCCTTCATGATCGCGCGCTCACTGATTCCAATGCGCTTGGGGTTATGTTTCCCTCCACCAATAATGCCCTTCTTCGGGCTCTTCAGGGGTTGGCTCCCGACATTTTCTTTCCCTTGACTTGGCGTCCCAAACTGCAGCTTGCTCTGCACCTTATATCCCTTCCCGGCAAGCTTCGCATTCGCCTTCTTAGATGGTGATAACGCCGAACCCTTCCTAGGCGAAACCGGCTTGAAGATAGGGTTAGGTTTCCTAGGGCTGAGAGCATCAGCAGCCGTGGAAGCAGCATTCGCATCCGCAAACTTATGTCCCTCCAAAGCACCAGGACGCAGCTCATACACCCAGTGGCGATCTTCCATCATGCGCACAAAGCGGGCGAGCATTTCGCCTCCTTCTGGTTCTCCTTGCCCTTCTCCCTGATCATCACCGGTTTCTCCCAGCTCGGGACTAGCGATTGCTGAAGGAGACCCAGCCACCGAGGAAGACGCCCCTCGCAAAGTTTCACGGCTACCAACAACAAGCAGCTTTGTCTTCGCCCTTGTAAACGCCACGTTGATCCTCCTCCAATCTTTCAGTAGTTCGCCGATACTACACCCCTCGTTACTTCGCACCAGGGATAACACCACGACGCTCTTATCTCTTCCTTGGAAGCGATCAGCGGTATGCATCTCGATTTCCTCGGCCGCCACTTTGACGCCCGCTCTTATGGCTCCTGCGCTACCGCCTAGGGTATTTTTCATATTGTGCTTAAGCAAAGCCAGTTGCGAGCGGTAATGCGTCATCACGCCAATTTCGGAAGCGGGCACGCCGACAGTGAGGAGCGAGTCGACTAGTTGGCAGACGATGCGGGACTCAAGCGGGTTGACGATGCGCTGACCGCGAGTGGATTTCTCTTCGCGTGAGTGGGGAAGGAGGGAGTCGGTGTTGATGAAGCGGACGCGTGCGGAGGGGTCGAGGAGATCACGGAGCCAGCAGGTAGTGAGGGTGGGAGAGGGGCAGAAAGAGAGTTTATCTCCTTCTTTAAGCGGGTGTTGCTGGGAGTAGGCGAGGAAAGAATCGGCATCAAAGTGCTTGGTTGCTAGAGCGTCCATGTCGGGAATCTCGAGGGATGTAGTGCGTAACGCTTCGGTGCCGCATTTTAGCCGGCCATTGTAGATGAGCGTGTTGGAAAGGGTCATGATATCTTCGCACATGCGGTACTGGTGTTCGAGATTGACCACACTTTGGGGATGTTTCTTGGAGAGAAGCTTGAATAAGCTCACGTCGAGACCGCCGAGGCGAGCTTCCTCGTTTTGTACGAGAGGGGGGAGCTGGTTATGGTCACCGACTAGAACAAACTTGCGTGCCATGCGGATGGGACCAAGACAGATAGGAAGCGTGATCTGGGAAGCCTCGTCGACTATGCAGTAGTCGAAGATGCGCTCGGCGAAGACAGGGTGGTTGATACCCAAGCAAGTCGTCGCCACAATCGGGGTGTCGTTCCAGGCCTCGTGGATCTCCGAAAAAGAAGTCTTTGGCACGCCGGCGAGGGTGGCGAACGAAGGAACCTCAGGGTGGACCTTGACGGGAGGACCGAGACGAAGAATCGGGATCCCGTCATCCTTGAGCTTCAACAAGATGTTGTCCACGGCGGTATGGGTGTAGGAAGTTAGCAAGACCGTTTTCTTCTGTGCAACCAAGGCACGGATGATGTGCGCAATGGTGGTCGTCTTGCCCGTACCAGGCATACCAAGCACAAGGGCATAGTCCTGAGCAGACATGACCTTCTCAACAGCCGCCTTCTGATCGACATTCAGACCTTGGCCCGACGCGGTAGAAGGAAGCACGTACTGCGTTGGTACAGCCTTAAAGCGGGGGGCGTCAAGGTCAACAACCAATCTCCTGATCTGCCTAGATCCAAACACTCCATCGGCCATGATCTGAACAAGATTGTTGCGTACTGTTGCCATGCCATTGCTGAACTCATCTTTGTCTAGACGGTAGCGGACCGGGCCGGCTTCAAGGTCTTCTGGGGCGTTATCACCAGAGCCAGTAACCTGCATGATGCTGGCAAAGACCTGATTATCGGCCTCGTCGAAGCCAGGCTGCCGGACGCGCGCATTGTGCAGTCTTCTGTCCACGGCAACAGCGATGCGAGTCTTTCTGACTGAGGTGACATAGCCTAGCGCAAGTGCAAAGTGACCTTGTTCATCAGAAATGACAATGGGCTCACCCACAGTAAGTTGCGAGTCCAGAAACGAAAAGCCGGGGACAGGCTTTTCCTTGATAAAGGTGTAGGCGAACCGGTTGGTCTTGCCCATCTGTTGGTGATTCTCGTATGCTGAGCCCTCCTCAATGATGACATTGGCGAAGCAACGTCCAACCTTCTCGCGCTCTGTGCTGATCATGGTCCACAGCTCTCGGCGAAGCTTTTGGCTTTCCTTTTCCTCCTTGGTTAGAAGTTCTTCCCATTTCAAGAAAAACTCCTTGTGGGTAGGGCTGAGATGGTGGACTACTTCATCAAACTTCTCGTTCATTGCGCTCGTCTCCCCATCTCCGTCATCAGCAAGTTTGTGATAGATGAAACAGGTCGT